GCTGGCTGGGGCATTTGTGTAAATAATGTCACCATAATCAATGGCTGGTAGGAAAGTAGCGGCTACAAGGTGTTTCCTGGCGTTCAGGGTTAAGCAAGATATATTTCTGAAAAAGATCAAGCAGTGTATCAATTAAAATTCCCAAGTATTTGTAAGAATCCACAAACTCAATAGGAACACCATGTGTGGATGAGATAGGAGGAAGAGTTACTGTTACCAATTTTCTGTTTGAAAACAACACCCCTTTGGTTTTATCAGCATTTAGCATCAGTTTGAGACGGAACAAGTCTGACTGAACGATGTCAAATGCAGACTGTAGAAGCTGGAAAACCTTGGCAACTGTGTTAGCTCAGCAATAAACAATTGTATTGTCAACACAGAGATGCAAGGAGGCATCAGGAATGTTTTGACCTACATTATTTATATAAAGTGTAAAAAGAGTGGGTCCTAAAACGGAGCCTTGTGGAACGATTAGTGACTGTTAAATAGACGAAGTTACACTGTTGTGTCAAACACATTAGTGTGTTAGCAGTGTTAGCAGAGAGTCATTGCTAACACATATTTTGAGAGCTGACAGATTGTGTAAAATATGTTAACTAACTTTGACCTGCAGTGTGTTGGTGGATCATCAATTCACATTATCACATTATCCTTCAAGGACTGCTAGGACTTTAATTTGTTCTGAGCTTGCCGAACCTCGTTTTTTGGAGGGTTTCTCAAATTTTGCTTAATTTTTATTGTTTTTTTACACTTGTATTTTCGTTACTCTAGTAAGACTCAAAAGGAACATTTTCTTTTATCCAACATATCCATGTTTGAGACCAGTGCCTTCTGAAAATCAAATCCACATTGCATGTTTAAATGTCTCATATATTCTTACTTTGAACTACTGATTTACGGTTTGCTCTCGAGGGTATTAAGCTGTCATGGTCCTCAATAACTCAGATTATGTAACAAGTGTTCCTTGCAAATTCTCAGTCTGATTTCACTTAGAATTCTCAAAGATTTTTCGTTACTTTGATAAAGGAAAATACAATAAATCTGAAAAATCATAAAGTATATAGAGCCAACAATCTTGTGCGTGTCCATCGATATTTAAAACTGAAAAACAAAAAAAATGCTTTGAAAAAAGTTTAACACGTGCTTATAAAAGACTCAAAGCAACTTGTATGAGAACATTTGACATTAGGTCCTTAAACAGAACCAATATGAGAACAGTGTTTCTTAGATGTGGGGCATTTGTGGTGGTTCTTCATGACCCCTTTCTTTATAGTCAAATAAATAAGTTTGCAAAGAGCTCTGTCTTCTAGCATTTAGATTCACTGAAACCTCAATTTTAATCGTTTTGTTTGTTTGTTTCATTTAAAAAAAAGTAAAAGTGACAGAAACTTTATTTTTTGTAATGCAGACATTTTCACCTAGACGTATAATTTAAAAATGGTAAATTCACATTTCTATGAGCTATTTATAAAGAACAGTGTTTACTTTTAGCTGGTGAAATAACCAGATGATAATGGTTTGGTTTGCCTTTGATAAGCAAGGCTGTGGTTTCCGGTGAAGCTAATCTTTGACCCCCTTAAGTTTTTAATAACTTCTTGTGCAGCCTGAGGACAGGACCAAAACAACTTAACTACTGATTAATGTTGCAGAACTGGAGAATAGTATGGATTCTTTAAAATAAAAGGAAATTATATGTTAGATTATCCAACACAAGCCTACATCGTGTTCTTTTGCTTACTTGGCTGATTATTTTTGTTTAAATGCGCTTGAGTTTGACCTTCATGGCAGTCCTGTTTATACAGTCTAGACTGGACTATTGCAATGGTTTGTTATCTGGGTGTCTGAAAACTTCTTTAAAAAGCCTTCAGTTGATCCAAAATATTGCTGTCTTAATGGCAGTTAGTAGGAGAGATCATATCTCTCCAGTTTTAGCTTCTCTACATTGGCTCTCTGTCAAATTCAGAATTCAATTCAAAATCTTACTTCTAACCTACAAAGCCTTCAACAACCTAGTTCCATCTTATATTACAGATCTTATTGTCCCATATTTTCCTAACAGAGCACTTTACTTTCAGACTGCAGGCTTACTTGTGGTTCCTAGAGTTTCCACGAGCAGAATGGGAGGAAGATCTTTCAGTTATCAGGCTCCTCTCTTGTGGAACCAACTTCCAGTTTCTGTCCGTGAGGCTGACACATTGTCCAGTTTTAAGACTGGGCTTAAGACTCCTTTTTGATAAATCCTATAGTTGTGGTTGGCTTGTCATGCTGCCATAGGCTTAGACTACTGGAGGACAAACTGGCCTAATTTCTTAAAATGATTTTTTTAGTTATGCACCATATTATCGGCATGGTATCTGTATCGGCCGATATTAGCATAAAATTTCAATATCGGACATCAGCCATTCCATTAAAATAACTTGCTGATATTGTTTTTGCCTGCAGCGGCCGCACAACATGATGATGTTGCAGCACAACATGATGACGTTGCAGTGGCAGCGCAACACGATGATGTCACGCACACCTAATGAATCTCACGGCCGACATTCTGAAAAATTCAAAATGTCGGCTGCGTGGAAGTTTTATTTTTCATTGGTGAGGATGGCAGATTCCGAAGATTTATGTACTACGTTGAGCTTCGCTGCATTGTCCGCGGTCTGAGATATTTTTCCAACGTAACGTTACCTGAGTTACAAGCCATCATTTCCTACATCATTGAGACACTATTAGCCGATAGCATGACTTGTTGGGTGAGTTTTACCACAGACATTTGGATGTTGTGTTAGCTCCGTTAGCATGATTAGTCTTACAGCACAATGGATAGACAAAAAACTTTGAACTTAATAAGGCTGTCATTCATGCACAGGAGTGCAGTGGATCCCACACTGCAGCTAGGAACCCAGAACAAGCTTCCACAAGTGAGACAGCATCACAGGTGACCAATGCTAATAAATTACATTTAACACTTTTAATTTAATATAAGTCAAAGTGCTATGCATATTATATGGCTGTTACTGAATATATGTCACCAGCTCTTACAGCTGCTGCACAATTTTTGTAGCAAATAAGCCTAAATAAGAGGGCTATGTTCTGACAAAGGAACATATATAAAATATTGGTATCGGCATCGGTTATAGGCCGAATAAGTTTTAACATATCGGCATATCGGATATCGGCCAAAAATCCAATATCGTGCATTCCTAGAATTTTTACAAATGAGTAGTTTTCAGAGAGATCGATAGGCGGATAGGTGTGGCATCTGCAGTGAAGCAGGTGCTGTACTGATCTATCGTGGTGAAGAGAGAGTTGAGTCAATAGGCAAAGCTCTCAATTTACCAGTCTATCTATGATCCTACCCTCATCTATGGTTAGGATGCCTCCTGGACGCCTCCCTGGTGAGGTGTTCCAGACACGTCCCACCGGGAGGAGACCCAGAGGAAGACCCAGGACACGCTGGAGGGACTATGTTTCTCGGCTGGGCTGGGAATGCCTCGGGATTCCCCTGGAGGAGCTGGCCCAAGTGGCTGGGGAGAGGGACGTCTGGGCCTCTCTACTTAAGCTGCTACCCCATGACACGACTCCGAATAAGCGGAAGAAAATGGATGGATGGATGGATGGATGGATGGATGGGATAGTTTTCATTTGATATTTCTATCTTATGTGACTCTCGACCTGCCATTGTGTATCCGTTCCTCCTTCCTGTTCCTCTCAAACCCAGCCTGTCGTAGCAGATGGCCGCTTGTCCTGAGCCTGGTTCTGCTAAAGGTTTCTTCCTCATGAGGGAGTTTTTCCTTTCCACTGTCGCCTTCGTGCTTGTGCAAGATGAGAGTTCTGTGATGGAGTTAAACTCAAAGCAGTCTGCTCCTCAGATCAATAGTGTTAACTTGTTTTTTATATATATGAATGTCTCTGTTCAGTGCCCTGTGGTGACTTCTGTTGTGATATGGTGCTATATAAAACTGAATTTAATTTAATCGAGTATAGAAAAGGGACTACAACTTTCACCCGCCAAAGTTAGATTTAATCCACTCCAGTTTATGGCGCTTGAGTAGTGCTCAGACCTCAACTAGTGTGACCTCCTTTCCCAGCCCAGGCATCTGTTTGCCAGTAAAACATTTCTTCTGCGTAAAACTGCTTTAGTACATGGAAAAAAATGTTGGACTATTGTTGTCCAAATGTGGTTTTTATCACTGCCCTGCAAATCCTCCCAAATCCTGTTGTTTAAGTTTACTTCACAAAGACTGTCTTTAAAACCATCAGTCACCATCTCTGCAATCACTATAAAGAATAATGATCTAAGCTCATGGTGGTCCATCTATATCTGGATGTTGCAGTTTGTTAAATTGTTTTTCAGCTTTAAAGATTGCTGTAGCCGTTTACACCGTGAAGTGCCGTCAGAGGTTTTACATGAACGCTTGGATTTAAATGGGATAAAACTGGTTAGAATCGTTTTCACAATGGCTTGAAAAAAGTAAACATTGTAGCCATTTCCTAACTCTCTGGTGAGCTATCGCTGACTAAAATATGTACATAATTCTCATTCTGAACCCAAATGGCCGGCTTCCTACTGCTCTTGACGCTGTTGGCTGTGGAAGAGCTGAGGTAATCCTTCCTCTTTGTCATCTGCACTTTTGCCTGACGGAAAGTTCGTCATAAATAATCCAGAAATTACTGCTGTTGTGTTTGTCAATGCTGGGTTGTTCGCAGAACGTTAGTTTACTTATTCAATATTTCATTTATTAATAAACAGTTAATTAACTGTTGGTTTTCAATGATTAGCACCTTTATGATCAATACAGTTTTGTTAAGTTATTTAACAAACTTTAGATATTTTATGACAAATAACTGATATGAATGCTGTTAGAATGCAGCTTAGTCCTTTGTATATTGAGCTGTAATTAAAAAGAGAGTGTTAAAAAAGTTCATGCAAAAGTGTAAAGGTTGACAATGATGTCATTCTTTTTGTTTTTGTTTTTTTTTCTTCTTCTCTCTCTCCCTCCTAGCTCTTAACTGGAACCCTGGACGGGAAGCTAAGGCTGTTTCAATCTGGCACCGGGTCCCATTTGTCTCGAGACACCACTGCTGCTTTGCATTGCTTCCCCAACATGACTGCATAATTACGATGGGCTGCTGCGAAGACCATGCAGCTTTCATTAAGGCAGCTGGAGCCCACCAGCAGTAAAAAAAATAAATAAATATTTTTTTGTTTCCTTGTTTCAAAGAAATATAAAAGCATTTATGACTGAAAATAAAGGCATCTATTTTATAATGTTCTCCTAAAACATACAAGGAGTAAACTGAAACTTTCAAGAGATGCTCACATTGTGGCTTCCTCATCTCAGTCTCCCTGTTTATACGTTTTTCTCTCTGACCGAAATTCAAAGGAATGCCAGTGTTTAGCTTCAGTGTCTTTGATCCATTTCACCACAATAACATGATGCAATGCTCAATTTTATTCAGCTGTTGTTAAATTTGCCAAAAACAATTCCAACCTCTTGAGCACTTTGGATGCTCAAGGGTCACATAAATTATAGTTAAGCATGTGAAACAGATGTATTTTATATATCTGGTTGTGACCAGTGTTTAGCAAATCAGCACAGAGCATCATGACATCAACTGGGTGCAACCTTTGTGGCTGCCAGACAAACAGATGCTCCTACTGTTTTTAAAGACAAATCCACCCACAGCTTTTTGAGGACCGCAATCAAAACCCACTATTTGCTACAATGATGTCTAATCGTACAGTTGAAAATCTGTTGGAGCCCCAGTAATACTGTTGTATAGGTAAGGTTTATATGGAAAATAAGTTTTTAGGTTTCCTTGTTTAGTTGTGTTCAATTTTAGCTAACAGTACATCCAATAATTAGCTATTAAGAGTAGCACACTGAAAATAAGTCAGTTTTAGGAATCAACTTTGGTCCAAGCAAAGACCAAAGTGGACTGCAGCCATTTAAAAACAACTCCAATGTAAAAAAAAGACTCTTCGCCATCAGTTTTTCATAACTCGATTGATTATATTGATTTTCATAATTATTTGCATTATAGATAACTGCAACAACTAGCTGTAGCACCTCTGGTGCAGCTTGTGGCTCTTCAGGCAGAAATATAATATTACTTAATGAATAGCCACACAATGAATATTTGACAGCTGTGTAAAGGTTTATAAAATAGCATTTTCATGAACTGCGCACACACATTTGTATTTTTTTTCCTCGTTAGGTTATCAAGAGTGCACTCCGTCCATCTTGCTGTACGTACATGTTGTCGTTGTATCTCGGTGCGATGATAATAAAGCTTATTCTGATTCTGATTGTATTGACATCCATTAATCTCTGTAGCCCAACCCTGACTTTAGTTTTTATGGCCATTCTGCCATTGTGGGCTGCATCACTGGTGACCAGGAAGCTGAATACAGAGGTGTGGTGGACAGAACCACCTGCAACTCAACGTTGGAAAAATTAAAGAGCTGCAGGTGGACTACAGGAAAAAGATCATCCCCCCCAACACTATCAACATCAAGGGTACTAAGGTGAACACTGTAGACTGCTACAAGTACCTGGGGGGTCCACCTAGACAATAAACTGGACTGGACAGCTAACATCAACGCCCTCTACAAGAAAGGGCAGAGTTGCCTTTGTCTTCCAAGGATACTCGGGTCCTTTAACATCTGCAGGACCATGCTGCAGATGTTTTACCACTTGGTGGTCTCCAATGTCTTCTTCTACGCTGTGGTGTGCTGGGGCAGCAGGGTCAAGAAAGCTGATGCCAACAGACTCGATAAGCTCATCAAGAGAGCTGGCTCAGTTCTGGGAGTGGACCTGCAATCTTTGACGGAGGTGTCTGAGCAGAGGATGCTGAGGAAACTGCTCCAGATCCTGAACAACACGTCACACCCACTGCATGCCACACTGGACTCTTACCACAGCACCTTCAGTCGTAGACTGAGACCACCCAGGTGCTCCACAGAACGCCACAGGAAGTCCTTCCTCCCCGTGACTATCAAACTTTTCAACTCCTCCCCTTTTCTACACATAGGACAATAAAATTAATCCTGCACCACAATAAACTCTTTAATGTTTTTCACATTAAAACATTTCACACACGTTTGCACCTGTTTAGAACTTAATTGCTGGTATTTTTATATTCTGTTATGTTTTATATCTTGTGTGATATGTTCCATTTGTACTAAAACTCTGGCACAACAATTTCCTGTGGGATCAATTAAGTTCTATCTTATTTTATCCTATCTCTTATTTTAACCATAATCCCACTATTACCATTGTTTAACCCCAATCCCAACCTGAACTCAATTCACACCTTTGCCCTAAACCTAACCCCAAACCTAAATAGTAAATGGATTGTACTTATATAGCACCTAGCATCCAGGCTACTCAAAGCACTTTACAACACAACCTGTGCCCTCGGTTACCCATCCACACACACATTAATACTCTAGTACATCTCTGCAAAGATGATCTAAACAATAATTTTATAAAGACCAGTCAGTGCTTTAGATCACATTCATACACCGATGGGACACACATCAGAGGCATTGAGGGGTTCAGTGTCTTTCACATGTCAACATGTGACTGCATACTGGTGGAGTCAAACTTCTGAAAAAGATGTTCCACCACAGTAGGACTGGGTTCTGGTCCCCATGAGGAGTAACTGTCCTGACACAAGAAAGATGATTATTAAAAAAGGTAATAAAAAGGTAACAAAACTCTATGGAGTGCCGTTTGTGAAGTTACACAGTCAAAAATTAACAGCAATATTTTTGGTTTATTTAGCCTTTCATAAGAAAAAAAATAGTTATTTTTTTCAAAGTCATATTTTCACCATGTTATCCATACATTTATAAATGTCATAGTTCAAATTAAATATTTAATTTACAAGCTAAATATTTAGTTTACAAGCTAAATACTTAACTTGCAAGTTAAATATTTATGTCTGACCTAAATATTTTGTTAGCAAATTAAATATTTATTTTGGAAATTAAATATTTTGTTTGGAAAATAAATATTTAGGTCTGAGCTAGATATTTAGTTATCAAATTAAATATTTAGTTTAGGAATTAAATGTTTAGCTTAGGAATTAAATGTTTAGCTTAGAAATTAAAATGTTTAGTTTGGAAATTAAATATATATCTTGGATAATAAATATTTTGTATGGAAATTAAATGGTTAGTTTTGAAAATAAATATTTAGCTTGTAAATTAAATGTTTAATTTACACTTAATGTTTAGTTCACAAACTAAATATTTAACTTGCAAGTTAAATATTTAGTTTGTAAATTAAACATTTGGTTTGGACATAAACATTTAGTTTGCAAACTAAATATTTAGTGTGGAGCTAAATATTTAACTTGCAGGTTAAGGATTTTACTTGTAAACTAAATATTTAGCTTGTAAATTAAATATTTAGTTAGTGAACTATGGCATTTATAAAATGAATAACATGGTGAAAATATGACTTTGAAAAAATAACTAATTTTTTTCTTATGAAAGGCTAAATAAACCAAAATACTGCTGTTAATTTTTGACGGTGTAACTTTACAAATGGCACTCCATAAAAACCAGGTAAACACAGACACATTGCTTTTTTTTGTTGTTGTTGTTGTTTTACAAGAACAATGATTACAAGATGAAAAAGTTTGTGAAATGATTTTCCCTGTCAAAGTCAGTTCACACCTCTTACTTTTATGCTTTCCAGAAAACAAAAAAGAAGAAAGTCTTACAGATGATCTTTTATAACCTTCAACCAAGGTTTAGACTTAAGGAAAAATTGACCGTTCTGGGAAAGGATGCTTCACTCGTCTCCTGTCCATTAGGAAAGATAATGTATTTGACATATGAAGTGACGCTGACACTTATGATGGAAGGATAAATCCACAGATTCACTGTCTGTTCTTAACTCCCTCAGCCTGAGGCAAGTTTTCAGGAGATTTCTCAAATCTTCCATATGTCCCACTTTACTGGATTTGATTTATTCTTTCTCCAGACTACATATTTTAATTGAAACCCCCCCAAAAAAGACTGCCTTCAAAGATCACACATATTGAAGTTACACAGTAGATATCCTTATCACAAATACTGATGTTATCCATCCATCCATTTTCTTCCGCTTATCCGGGGTCGGGTCGCGGGGGTAGCAGCCTAAGTAGGGAGGCCCAGACTTCCCTCTCCCCAGCCACTTGGGCCAGCTCTTCTGGGGGAATCCCGAGGCATTCCCAGGCCAGCCGAGAAACATAGTCCTTCCAGCGTGTCCTGGGTCTTCCTCTGGGCCTCCTTCCGGTGGGACGTGTCTGGAACACCTCACCAGGGAGGCGTCCAGAAGGCATCCTAAACAGATGCCCAAGCCATCTCAACTGGCTCCTCTCGACGTGGAGAAGCAGCGGCTCTACTCCGAGTCCCTCCCGGATGATCAAGCTTCTCACCCTGTCTCTAAGGGAGAGCCCAGACACCCTGCGGAGAAAACTCATTTCGGCCGCTTGTATCCGAGATCTCATTCTTTCGGTCACAACCCAAAGCTTGTAACCATAGATGAGGGTGGGAACGTAGATCGATCGGTAAATTGAGAGCTTTGCCTTTTGACTCAGCTCTCTCTTCGCCACGACAGACCTGTACAGCGCCCGCTTCACTGCAGACGCTGCACCTATCCGCCTATCGATCTCACGCTCCATTTTTCCCTCATTCGTGAACAAGACCCCAAGATACTTGAACTCCTCCACTTGGGGTAGGACCTCCTCCCTGACCCGGAGAGGGCACTCTACCCTTTTCCGGCTCAAGACCATGGCCTCGGATTTGGAGGAACTGATCTTCATCCCGGCCGCGTCGCATTTGGCTGCGAACCGCTCCAGCGAAAGCTGTAGATCACGATCGGATGAAGCCAATAAGACCACATCATCTGCAAAAAGCAGAGACGCAATCCTAAGGCCACCAAAACGGATCCCCTCAACACCTTGGCTGCGCCTAGAAATTCTGTCCATAAAAGTTATGAACAGAATCGGTGACAAAGGGCAACCTTGGCGGAGTCCAACTCTCACCGGGAACAAGCCCGACTTACTGCCGGCGATGCGGACCAGGCTCTGACACCGGTCATACAGGGACCTAACAGCC